TATATATATATATATATATATATATATATATATATATATATATATATAAATACATATATACATACATATATAAATACATACATATATAAACTTTTGAACCATATGCATTTTCTGCATCCGCTTGACGAGCTGAGTCGAAATATAGCAAAATTTTTCAAAAGTTCTGCCATGAGGACCAACGCAATAGTTAGATTTCTATGAAATCTACTAAAAAACAGATAATTTTTAAAATGGGAAGGTAAATTTAAAGTTTAAAAATTTTTTTATTTCTGCTGTTAATAGTTTTTGTCAGAATAGTACGTGAAATTAAAAACTAGAGGTTATACTTATAAATTTTAATTCGATAAAATTGATTGATTTTTATGTTGATTAATATTAATTAAAAAAAAAGGCAAATGTCACATGTAATTTTAATTATTAATGATGTAACTTCCTTTGAATAATTTTAGTAAGAAACATTTTGCATTGGTTAAGTGGATTGGCGGCGAGGACGAAAAAAAATACACTTCCGGCATAGATATAAATCACATAAAAAATTTTAATTATGAACAATTCATCGATGATGCTGAAGACCCGGATAAAATTTATGTAGTTGAATGGCACGATTCAGTAAAAGAACCACTGGGTGGTTGGACATGCTATAGTGCCCAAGTTATTGCGGTCTCAGGCAAGATTTAAACGTTAATAACCAAGGTACTTTTATGATAAATAAATATCATTTATCTATTTTCTATATTTTTAAAGATTCTCTAGTCAAGTTAAATAAAAAACTTAAAACTATTGATGGAATTCAATCTCCTAAACGTTGTGTTGCTCAAGAGGTAACTGAAGAAAGTGGACCCAGTAAAAATGACATTCCTGAAAAAAATGAAAAAGTAACAGTTAATGAGCCAGAAGTGGTAAGATGAATTAAACAATGCTTAATAAATAGCATCTTTATATAATTGTATCAAGAAATATATTGTTCATGGAATAAACTGGTTCTTTTGAAATTATCAAGGTACATACATAAATTTTTTCAGGTAGTAAGTGATACTGAAATTGACAAGAGTCCGAAGGTTAAACGTAAAAAATCATTTGATGACAGTAATGTAAGTTTTACAAACGATGGTTTATGAATCGTATTAATTATCTATCTAAATCCAATATTTGTTATAGAGTTCAGAAGAGATTGAAGTTCTAAACGATGGAGAATCAAAGACTACTGAATCATTATCTCCTCCCAGTGTTAATGACGGTGAATTTAAAGATTCAGATGTTGAAATAATTAAAGACAAGGGTGTAAAACCATCAGGTACATCTGAATTTGTAACTAAACAAGAACTATCAGAAGGTTGGTTGTTAAATTTATTACGTCTTGATAAAAACTTAGATTAAAAATAACTCTGCTCTTATTAGTAGTATTTTTTTTTTATTTATTGCTTTTTACTTCTACACCTTTCTCGGTTTTTACAAGGCTGATCTCCCCTCTTTTCTTCTAGCATTTACGCTTTCCTTGCTCTTCTTCTATATTGGACCTCAGCAAGTCCCACCCAACATTTCCTCTGCTTTATATTACGGCTGTGGACCGACTTGTGCTTTCTGTACTGTATTCGCCCCGAACCTCACCTCTCAGGCTGTTGGAACAGAACCATGGGGAAACCACAGAGAAAACCCATGATAGTACAGTCGGAGCTGGGCTAAGTCTACAGTGATTGATAAGAAACTCTTTTTTATCGGCCACTGGCGCATTAGGCCCCTCGTCTAGTGTGCAGAGATCCCTCGCGCTAATCAACGCCGACTAGAGTGGTCACCCATTCAAGTTGTTGCTTAAATGTGTGATCGCCCAAGTCAGACGTGTGCCGCCCGGCTATCTCTGCCACTTTCAGAGGCTGGCAACGTAACGTACATATTTTTAATTACTGAAAAATAGTGGTGCGTGCCGGAATCGAACCCGGGTCCCACTCTTTCGAAAAGCGGGCACCGAGCCGACTAGGCTATTGCCAATTTCGATCTTATTAATAGTATTAAAATTATAAAATATTTATAGCTATTACAATGGCAGTTCATAAAATTGTGTCAGCAATGCCATCAACATTGTCACGAACGGGGTGAGTGATGGGCGCAAGGAATATGAAATAGAAATCTCAAATATCCGAACGTTACCACTTTCTCCGTTCGGGAGCTAAATTAAAAATTGCGTTGGAGTGTGGAACGGTACACAAGCTCGAACGTTATCTCTAAGTGTTAACTTAGAGAGAGTAAGGATGATGGATCCTGCTGACTTCGGTCACGAATAACCTATTCTATTGTTTTTTTTGTAAAGGAGATCTTATTTTTTTTTTAATGTAAAATGAGAGAATCAACTTGTTTATTTGTTTGAATTTATTGAGAAAAACAAGTAAAAGTGTTACAAATTTGGGTTTACAAAACGGTTAATAAAGATAGAGATAAAAGAACACAAATGTTAGAAAAGAAATAATGTCTTAAAGGTAGATAATGTTTTGGGCTTACCCTGGAAGTATGTATAGAGGCTCAAATTTAATGGGCCCTTTCACCTTCTATGGGTAGTTTCACTATCAAAATACCGTATCTCGTGTGACACGAAGAAGTTAAGTATTTATTAATAATGAATTATTTTAATCTTCGCGACTTTACGCGGAGAAACTTGGCACTCAATCGATGCTCAGGTATTTTCGCTACCGAATTACCGGATCTCGTGTATGACGGAGAATTTGAGTAATTGCAAATAATGAATTAACCTTCGCGACTTTAAGCGTAAAAACTTAACACTAATCGATGCTCAATGCGGAAACAATATACTTCGCGATTCTCGCGGAAAAATCAACGCTCAACGGCAGAATAATCAAAAATCGATGCTCAACGGCGGAAAATAATAAAAAGAAGAAAACGGAATATAACTATGCCAAATATCGAATGAATTTACCGTGTTAGTGCTACTCAATGTAACCTAACCACGAGCAAGGCACTGTCTCGTGTATCACGGAGTACTTTGTGCTTCCGAAGAATTTGATGCCCGGAGCCGACCGACGCGGAGCTAACCAGTGGTATCCTGGTCGAAATCGAACTGCCAAAAAATGATTTTCGGGCGGTATTTATATGATTAGCAGCATCAGTGATTGTATGGGCTTCATAGGTAAATTATTCCAAAAAAAAATGATAGGTAGTGAAGGGCAATTGTCCGTGCGTCATCGCATTTTCTAATTCTTGGAAATCAAGGTACTTTCATGAGTAGTTTCAAAATTTACCTTGAGTCTTCAATTTGGAATAGAAAATGAAATGATACTTTCACTGTATTATGAATACAAAAATCGGTAAAAGTCATTGAAAAATTGAAAGGTATTGACAAAAAAATAGAAATCCGAAAATTAGAAAGGGTGTCATCAAATCTTTGGAAAGTTAGGCCAGATTACTCTTCTACAGACTTCAAGGGTATGATAAGTTGTAAATTAAAAATAAAAAGTTACATATATTTAGAAGAAAAACAAAATTTTTAGATTTTAGCAGACGTCACAACATCATCGGCTACCTCAACACTGCGTGCTAATCCGTCAAAAACCAAACATACACAAAAAAAGAAAAATGATATGGTATATTCTTTATTTCTTTCTATATTTTTAATTATTGAATAACCACGAACGAGAACTATTATAAAAAGATTTATTATTATTTTACTTCTATTGAATATAGGTTGAATTAGGTGAACCAGGAAGCAACATTTTTGTTACGGCTGATCAGTGAAGAGCAGCGGAATCGGCTACCACGTTTACAGCATTGACTACATCATTGTTGGTTTCGGTGTTTTCAACTGATGAGCTCATTAAATGTAACTATAAAGGTGGAGCACCTAAAAATGCTAAAGATAAGTCCATTGTACACTCTGGCTTAGAAAATACTGACAAGTTGAAGGCTATTAAAGGTATGATAATTTAATTAGTTTTAAATATAAATTTTTATCTATGATACAGAATAGTAAAAAAATAACATCATTTAATACTGTTAGAAACAGTCAAGAATCGATTCAAAAGACAGTTCAATAATACAGACTTCGGAAAATGCGTTAATGTCAAATGTAATAAATTACGGTCCTTGCACAATACATCAAAGGTAAAATAAAAAAATTTTCAAATTAATTTGTTTATTTTGAGCGTATAAAAAGTAAAATATATTTTGTTATTGCAGAGAGAACTAGAAACCAAGTCGACACCAGAAAAAGAAGAAGAAGATGAAAGTAAAAAAGAATAGTAAATATTCAGTCAGTTGAAAATTTATAGATACTAAAACTTTTTATTTTTATAAAAATTAATATTTTAAAAAGTTTTTATTATGATTTTGATTTGACACAGTTTTCAATACTTACTTTTTAAAAATATTCAGTATACAAATCCTGAATGTTTTTCATCAAATTATTTTTCTTTAATTGAAATTTCTGCTTTATATTTTAATGATTATCAATTTAATAAATTACGTTATAATTTAACGTAATGAAATGTTTATAATTATTCAAAGATTTGAAAAAAATAATCGTGATTTGTATCCGACATATATCCGGATATATGTGCGCATATATAACACAGACATATATGATATGCATATATCTCACATGTATGCGAGCAGACATATATCCTGCGCATATATGAAGGGGCAAAAATGAGTATATGTCACATATATCTGGACATATATGTTGACGCATATATCTTAACATATATCCTGACTAGGGTGTGCCAAAATGTAACTCCCGTGGAGTACCTTTTAAAATTGGAATTTTGAGTTCCGCTATTAACAGGAGCTGTGTTTGGGCATTTCCTGAGATATTTCGGGGGGAGACGATGTATTATTATTATGAATATAGGATTTTTACCAGGAGATTCAATTGGGCACTTCCGGCCAAATTTTGAATTTTCACCGGAAACGCCCAAACTAAGCTTCTGTTAAAAAATTCTATGAAAATCAAATATATTGTCTCCCCCCAAAATATCTCAGGAAATGCCCAAACACAGCCTCTGTTAAAAGCGGAACTCAAAATTCCAATTTCAAAAGATCCTCCACGGGAATAACATTTTGGCACACCCTGACATATATATTTTTTCGTGGAGGTCCGGCATCCTTTGGCCAAGGTGTTTGCGTCTAAGATGTTCGTAAGCTGGACATTCTACTCGAAGGTGGAGCACTGTTTCCTGTTGGAAACGATGATGTCACAGGGTTTTTATTCCCTGTGTGCGTCCCTCCCTGCGCTTAAAATTTGGCAACAGATCCACACTCGATGTGTGTCTCAATTTTATTATTTTGTACTTATTTATTAATTTATTTATTAAGTTTATTATTATTATTATTATTTATAATTGAAATTTTTAATATTATTGTTTATAATTTAAGAATTAATTTTACATTTGTTTCAGATATTTACAATGAATTATTTGTAATTCATTATTATCATTATTATTATTTGTATGTATCGCCGTAAATCATAGTTATAGTACCTGGTTTTATTATCATAGCCTTTACTCGCACGGGTGAAGTCCTGTATTATCGATCGCGAGCTAAAAGTTTATTAAATTTGGGAAAAATGGCTAAAGAGGCCCTCGTGGTCGAACACGAGGCCTCGAACGTTTTACGGTGACATAGATTAGACAGACACGCGGTGGCCCGCTGGGTGTGAGGAAGACACGTGGGACCTCTGCTATTGTAAGGAGTGTGGATTTGGTGCCTTGGTTTGAGTTTCCTTTTTCTGGTGAGTACTCACAAGTTGAGCCATTTTATTATCCGCACACCGCTGTCTCCTGGCTTAGATAATTCATTTTATTGTTTAATTAAATTCGCTATCGATTAATATCGGGTCGATCCCGTAGCGAGTAAGGGTTATATTAGAAGGGAATATTTGTAGCTATCCCGAAAGCCGCGTGTTGGGTCTTCGATACGGCCAGCAATTCTTAATTGAGATATTACGTCATAGTTCATTATGGCAATTATTTTATCAGGCGTTAATTATTATAATTATTATTTTGAGCGCAATTTGCGGTTAACATTGCGGATTGTTAATTATTATTAATATACTGGTTATTTTGCGTTATTTATAATTAATATCATTTGGTATTGTAATTATGATCACTCGAGTGTGACTCATTATTGACATTGTCGGATATTAGTTATTATTATACCTTTGTTATTTTTCACGAACGACTTGTCTTCGATATTATCATATTTTGGTTACGATTGTTATAATTATTGTTTTGATTGCGGTTATTGTTATTCTCAAACGCAATATTATAAGTTAAGCTAAAAAAAAAGCTATGTATATATTAATCAAGAATTCCATAAAGGATTTAAACTGTTATTTAGAAAATAGAATAAGTTTAAGTAATATCGCTTTGAATAAATTGTTTGTTTATTTTTATATTTACCAATTTAATAATAATTTATTTTATATATATTAATTCCCGGAATTTCTCCTACAATTCCTATTTAATTAGATAATTTGAGATACTGTTTATAGTTAACTATTTATTATTTTTATTTTTCACTCTACTTTGCTATTAACTTTGATTATTTCGTGGTTCATTTTCCATTCGCGTCATTTCAAGTCGTTAATTGATCGTCCGGCGAGGCCCCTGGCATTAGTATTGTTTTGGTAATTTTTGGATAAAATTACCTGGCGTCCTTTTCGTGCACTAACCCAGCCTGAGGAGTCGCGGGTTAATTTCATCATCATTTATATATTATTTAAGAAGGGCGAGCGTAAAATACCCTACCCAGCCGGTATCTCCGCCTCCGGTAAAAATTTAGTTAAATTTGGGGAAAAGTATTGTTATAATGACATTGCGTGCAAATTTTGTCTGGATTAAATCTGTGACTTTCACCAATTAATGAGATATTGAATGCAAGATTACAGGATTGACGAAGTAGAATTTTAGGCTTTGCGAAGCGATGAGGACAAATGAAAATTCAATAAATCAACCACATTGAATTAATTCAGTCTAAATAAATAATTATGTACTAAATTATCACGACATCAAATTGATTACCATAAAAATTCCTTGATTAAATCGATCGTAAATGCGACATAATATTAATAAATAAATTCGCAATAAAATAATATTAACAAAAATTCATTCAATGAATCGGTGTAAAATATTCAATATAAATAATTGACAAAAATTTGCGTTCTTGAAATCGATGCCAAATATTCGTTAGTAGATTAGTTTTTACCTTGGGTCCCGAATTATCTACGACGTAAAATTCAACCGACGCTTGACTAGGAATTCGTGAGAAGGCAATTAATTACATGAAAAATTTTACTGTTGGTTTTATCTGACTAAATTGACCAATATAATTATAAATTAAATGAATCTCAAACTATTGTCAATTAAATAATCAAATTATAAATTAGGAGAAGTAAACAAAATGTTAGGTAAACCGCGGTCCACTTCTATCCCACAGAGTAATTTTCAATACCTTGATGAATAAAACGACGATCTAACTAACTGCTTGAAATTGGAGTCCTAGTTGTTGTTGGCTTCCTTCGTCTGGTAACTACTGCGGGGATCAATTTCTCTTGATTTTCTATGACACTCCGTTCAGCAGTTACACCACTTCTCCCTTTTGCACGGCTCACCTGTAATAACCCGAAACTACCCCCTCCCGCTCTTTCTTTAGGCCCGAAGATCGAGACGCGCCAGTGCTGCGTCGAACAATTATCGATATCTGGTGACTTATCGATTCAGGGTATATTTACCCTGTTACAATATATAGAAGCTTTTGAAGCATATGTATTTTCTGAACCAGCTGGACAAGCTGAGTCAGGAAATAGCAATATTTTTCAACAGTTCCATCGGGAAAACAAATTACTATAGAATCTACATAAAACAGCAAGATAATATGTACCAGAGTTACTTGAGTATTGGCACTGTCAGTGCTGGTGTTAATCGTTGTTTCGGAGGCAGTGCTAGACCCCATGATTACGACTTTTGGTACGGTGCGACAGCTGCGACTTCCACCAGCTGATTTGAAATGTAACCTACGGAGAGCAGAAGCTGCGTGTGCCAGAAGATCGGTATCCTTACTATAGCTTTCAGTCACATTACATCCAATTCCTCGTATCGGCGACGACTGCGACCCACCAAAATCGCTACTGCAATTTTTTGCACTGCCAGCACTCCTTGCGGACAAGCCACGGTTATCTATCTGACCCTATAAATCAATAAATATTATTATTATTATTATTATTATTATTATTATTATTATTATTATTATTATTAATTTACACGATGCGATGATATAAATTCATTAAGGGGACCCGGTGGTCTAGCGGCCTGAAATTTAAGCTATTTTAAAAATTTTATTTCTACATGAAGGTAATGACTAATGCTTTCAAATATTTATTACACTTATTCTATTACTTATCAACTACACGAAAATGAAAATCAAAACAAAAAAAAAATTTTTTTTAAATTAGAAAAACGGCGCTGAAGTTCCCCTCTCGAAAACAATGGACCTTACTGGCGCAGGTCGATTGACCTCTCCAAAAAAAATAACATAAAAAATAAAGACAGATTTTTAATTAGTATTTCAGATCAGATGGAGTGGTCAATCGACCTGCGCCAGTAAGGTCTATTTTTTTTGGATAGGGGAACTTCAGCGCCATTTTTCTAATTTAAAAAAAATTTTTTTTTTTTGACTTTCATTTTCGTGTAGTTGATAAGTAATAGGAAAATTACGATCCTCTCCACAATCCTTTCTCAATCCTTTCCTACCAATTATCCTGTTACGTGAATGTTGGAACGCTTCACGTAATAATTATCCGTAACTCCTATTCTTTCCTGCTTCACAGCATTATTTATATTTGTTAAAAATGCTAGCCGTAAGATGGACGGTGTGGCTTAATGTATATAGAATAAGTAAAAGGAAATTTAGTATAGACCGGATAGCTCAAATGGTAGAGTAGCCGACATGTCTTCGGAAGGTTCTGGGTTCGAATCCCAGTCCGAGCTATCTAATAATTTTTTCTCGCATATTCTATACACTCACATTAAGATGATCCTCTCCACAATCCTTTCTCAATCCTTTCCTACCAAAATATCCTGTTACGTGAATATTGTTGGTCACCAAATTGTTAGTGATGATGGAATATTACCATCTACTTGAATTAGAATTATACTAGCAAAAAATGACCGTAAAGGCAGGAACGGATTTAAAGAGAATTATAATTATCACGGTCGGAAAATTAATAAATATATATATAATATATATAACTTTTGAGCCAATGCCATTTCTCGACATTACTCGATGAAATAAAACATATTATGATAAAATTTTCCTAAAATAACAACATGTGACTGGCTACAATAGTTAGATTTCTAAAGAAATCTAGCTAAGAACTGTATTGAATACTATGAGAAAAATCAAAACGGACACGAATCTCAAATGATTATTTGATTTATTAGTTAAAAGTAATTACACATAGTTAGGTATGAGCTGAGAAATCTAAAGTTTATAATCCGGAGCTTTTTAGAATTATTAAACATTAAATCTCTTGAACTTCTAAAACACAATATGTAACAAACGAATCAATCAATTTTGATGCACTTCCTATTTGTCATTTTTTTTTTTATTCAAAAGTTGATTCGATTTTGAAAAAGTTTGGAAAATCCAAAAGTGCACGCCTCATAACGCTCATTCGTTTTTTAAGAAAAAAATTAATTGTGTAATTGATTAAAAAAAAAAATTATAATTAAGTAGTTTCTTACAGAGTATTTTTTATTTTGTTTTTAAATATCGGCGCCCTATTTTCTTGTCATATATGCACGCAGTCTAAAAAAATCTAGCTTGATCAAGTGGCACCATAGTTTTCACGTGACAAATAAGAAAAGTTCGTTTGGCTTTGTACGGTTGTATCGTAGTCAATTTTAATAAAAATTAAATTAAAAAAAAAAGACCATTCGGCAGTCGAAATGGAAGTAGATTTCATCATAAATAGAAAAAAATAATGGATTTCTAGTAAACCGGCGATTAAAACCTTATTTCACCCTAACTCGTTATTTGTTTACATACTGCTGGTGTACAGTAAAGAAAAAAAAAAAAAAAACCGAGTGCAATAGCAAATTTCATAATTGGCTAGCGGAATAGGACATAATTTTGGGACTACACATATGATATGGTACTCAAATTGAAGCTTATTTGAAGAGATTTCAGATGCAATTTACATAAATTCGATCAATTATCCCATTCAAAAGTTATTGAAGGACGAAAATGGAGAAATGTTAATTTTGATGATTTTTTATGATTTTGAAAATTTTGAAATCATGGCATTTCTAAATTACTTGACCGATTAAGCTCATCCTCGAACTTGACCTCGGTATCTATCTGTAGGATAAGTATAGTATAGTATGTTGAGTTTGATAAAGATCCATTGTAAATTGGCGACGCTATCGTGATGACAAGCCGCGTTATATATATATATATATATATATAGAAAGAATAGGAGTTACGGATAATTATATCCCGCTAATAATGAGATTATTGCTGTAATTATAGCGGGACCACTAAAGAATAGAATAAGTGTAATAAAAATTTGAAAGCATTAGTCATTATCTTCAAATAGAAATAAAATTTTTTAAAATAGCTCAAATTTTAGGCCACTGACCACCGAGTCCCCTTAATTAAAAACTATTTTTGATTGAAAGAATTTTTTTGCTTAGTTTTTTTCATTAAGCTCTAAGTAATTAGATTAGAGAGTGTTAGTGTACAGACGATATCTCTATTAATTCAAATAAATTGTAGATCGAATAAAGAGTAAAATTATCAGCTAAAACATGTATATTTCAGAAATAAGCTATCTCTTTTCAGTCAAAATTTATTTACAAAGGTCTTCGAGGAAATCGCGATTTTTAGCATGTTAGAAATTTCAAATTGCCAATATTTTCTTACTAATTGACTGATTTTACTTCTCTTTAAGCTATTCAAAGTAGTTGTCTGCAAAATAAGTATACCAAGCATTGTTATAATCCGTTTAGAATTGTACGTGCTATTTTATTTATTAGTCATGTTAAAGACACATTGCTCAAAACTGGTTCAAAATGAGTATTAAACTTTACAAAATAGCTAAAAATTTTTCAAAAGTAATAGTAATATGGGTCAAATTGATCTCTAGGTCACTAGCTTTGAGATTATATTTGATACATCAGATTAATTTCTCAAAATCAGATATCTTTCTTTAAGGGTTAACCCATGTAACGTTACATGGGTTTCACGGTTTCAAAAAATTGATTTTTTTTGTCTTACTAGAAAATCAAACGCGCTTTGTGCGCTTTTGTCAGAATGTTTATTATCGACAATTTAATTAATCAATATTTTAACAAATTTTACTCATTAATATTTAACCATTGCCATAGTAACAGTTGTCATATTAACCGTTGCTATGGTAACCGTAGCCATAGTTACCATTGCTATAGTAACGGTTTCTATGGTAATCGTTGCTATGCTAACCGTTGCCAAAGTGGTCACCATAGCAACGAAAAGCGAGAACAAAATGAAAACGTCACATCAACTTTTTAATAAAGGATTAAATTCTACAACATCTCTAGAATATTGTCCTAAAGTTACAAATCGATCCGAATAATAGTTTCGGAAATAGACTTTTTAAAAGTTGCGCGCTAAAGGTGCTGTTGTCACTCGAATCTTCAAACGCGGTGTTCTCAAAACTATGTTTTCAAAGACGGTACCCAAGATTTCTCGAGAACTATTCAACCGATCTTGATGAAATTTTAGACAGGTCTTCAAGTTATAATTTACAACGTCTTATACAAAGGATTATTTTTTTTTTAATTGCAACTATTAAAAAAAAAAAATTAGGAAAATGGTTGACCCTGAAGGCCATCCCTGCAACTTCCCGCTAATTCTTCGAGCTCAAAACACACAAACACTTTGAGTTCAAAAATATAATTTATATTTTCTTTCGAGCTCTACGAGCTCATAGAGTTAGCTGTTCTAAGCTTTTAAGCTCTTCGAGTCTGATAGTAGTCTGATAGAAATTTAATAAAACAATATTTTTTTAATTTTCAAACTGCAATAATATCTGAAAGAATGAATCGATTTTCACGAGGTTGGCAGTATTCCACGCAGTTTTTCGGAATTTATGATATACATTTGAACACAAACTGATCGAACCGAAAATCTTAGAGAAATTTGAAAAATTCATATTTTCCGAATTTTTTCGACGACAACTTACGAACCAATCAACCGGTTTTCACGTTTTTGGTGGTGATCGACGTAATTTTTTTTGGCTCTAATAATTATTTAATTTAATCAAAAACGATCCAAAAAGAAATGTCGAGGTTATGTGAAAAAAACACTTTTTTCGAAATTTTTCGTTTTTGATGACTCTTGAACGAATTAACCGATTTTGACGAGACTGGGGGTGATCGACGTAGTTTTTTAAACTTAAGAGGCTCATTAGTTTTTGGAATTGATCGGTAAAGCCGTTTAGAAGTTATTCCAAAAAACGATTTTTCGAAAATTTTAATTTTGAGATTTTTCAAAACCTAGCGAACTGAATCGATTCAAATTCTTACAAGATTAAATGGCAATGATACTCTTTGAATCGCCATCTATTTCAATCTGATCGGCCATTATCTTTCAATGACCGCGATGTCGTTGAAAGATTTTCTTTCGCTTCTAAAAAAAAAAAAAAAAAAAAAAAAAACACACACACACAATTAGTGGAATCTTAATGTCTGCAGAACTTATAAAAAAAATTGAGTGAAAATCGCCAGGTATGAAACTGCTTCCGTGACCGTGGAGGGAATCGATCTTCATAGGGCTGAAAATCTTCTGTAGAGGGAACTATGATTTCCATAAGTTTTTACCCTTAACTTCCAATGGATACCAGAAAATTATTAATTAGTAATTTTTAAAAGTCAGATGTTGGTGGATTAAGAGGTTACATGGGTTTCCTCCGGGAAAAAATTGCCTATTTTCAACAGTTTTTGCTGAAATTAGCTGAAAATCACTACTGACGGGGATGTTTCTCTGTGTCCATGGGGTCGATCGATCGATTATAGATCTGGAATTCTTTCTTAGAAGAAACTCTATGATTTCCATAAGTTTTTTTCTTTAATTTCTCATGGACACCAAGGAATAAATTTTGAAATATTAAATTTCAGAGAAATTAGCCGAAAATCACCATTTATGGGGCTGTTTCTCCGTGTCTATGAACTTGATCGATCGATTATTGGTCTGAGAATCTTTCTAAAAGTGTACTCTATGATTTTCATGAGTTTTTTTTCTTCATCTCCTGAAGCCACCGAGAAAAAAATGTTTAAATGTCAAATTTCTGTCAAATTGGCCATGAATCGCTACTTATTTATGACCGTTAACCACCCAATAATGGTTTGCCATTGTTATTTTCCGATAGTAATAACAATATTTTTTCAAATTTCAAAGCGGCAGACGTGGTCAAATGGATTTAAAATTCACCAAAAATTGATACCTTCCTTACCTGAGTGCCCGTCGCGTCCACCACTTTAGGCTTAGTGAGTCCCCACCTCATGTATGGTAAGTATAAGGGTCTCTGTGTGCGAAAACTCAGGTTTGGTACAATACATATAGGTAGCCGCCCACTGGCTAATAGACTAATTATTTAATTAATAAAATTAACTTTATTTTTTAACTTCAGATCGACTTAAAAAAAATTAGAAAAACGGTTCACCCTAACGGCCATCCCTGCAACTTCCCGCTAATTTCATACCTGGGCGCTTAAAATTGCACTTATAACATTTTTGAGATTTTCGAGCTCAAAATATAATTTATGTGATATTTTGAGCTCGCTGAGTTCAAAGATAATATTTTTATGCGTTTGAGCTCTCCCAGCTCAAAAGTCTGATAGAAGTTTCATAGAACACTATTTTTGGAATTTTCAAACCGCAATAACTTTTGAATGGATTAACCGATTTTTACGCCGTTGGCGGCATTCGACGCAGTTTTATCATCCTCATAAGTTATTTTCAGGTTTTAATTGATCGAACCGAAAATTTCAGAGTAATCCCGAAAAAATACTTTTTTGTTATACTCGCTCCAGAAGTTCAACTTCTGAGCGCTGGGTGGCGTCCGTAAAGGTACTCTTTTCTAGAGACTCTACCATACCGTCTTTTTTCACGGCCTAGGCCGTGAAGTTTAACCCCCTCCTTTTTTTACGAACTTTTCGTGTACACCCAGTTGAAATTGAGAGAGATTGTAAAAAAAAAGTCACATTCTAGCGTACCGACCGATAATTTTTAGTCTTAGTTACTATTGAGTGGCGCTAACTATTTCTCTGCTGGCAGTTTATAACGAAGCGAACTTAATACGTAGGAAAGGATTGAGAAAGGATTGTGGAGAGGAACATCTTAATGTGAGTTTATAGAATATGCGAGAAAAAATTATTAGATAGCTCGGACTAGGATTCGAACCCAGAACCTTCCCAAGACATGTCGGCTACTCTACCATTTCAGCTATCCGGCCTATACTAAATTTCCTTTCACTTATTCTATATACATTAAGCCACACCGTCCAAAATAAAACCATATATATATATATATATATATATATA